CGGGGTGTCCCCAGGAGCGCCGGGCTCTGTCCCCAGGGGTATCGGGGTCCCTCCCCAGGGGTGCTGGGGGTCTTTCCCCAGGCATAACGGGATCTGTCCCCATGGGTGCCTTTGTTCCAGGAGGGTCTGTCCCCAGAGGTGCTGGCATCTGACCCCGTCCGTGCTCTCTGTGCCAGGGGTCTGTCCCCATGGATGCCCTCTCTGCCCGGGTCTCTTCCCCTGGGTGCTGGGAGGAGTCTGCTCACATGCGTAGGTGCCTGTGAGTGGGTGCAAGCACATGTGTATGTGGGAGTGCCGGCATGTGTGTGCTCACACAAGCGCTTGTGTGCGAGCGCGACCGTGTGTGCATCTGAGTGTGCGTGCACAAGGCAGCGTGAATGCCAGTCAGTTTGTGCGTGTGAATGGGAGCGCGCTGAAGTGACCTGTGTGTATGAGTGTGGGGATTCAGCTGCTTGCGTGCCTCCGTGCTCACCCATGTGTACCTATCTCTGCAGCCGTGGGCACCCATTTGTCTACCTGCAACCCTTTCAGCTCCAGCCAGCTCACCCATGCCCTCCACGGGCACTGCCCGAGTGCCAGACTGGCCCGGCACTGTTTGCATCTCACCTGGCCGCAACCTCACAGCCACACGGCCATGCCCTTTACAGCCCCACAGCTGTGGCCTTTGCAGCCTCACGGCCGTGCCCCGTGTCTCTTGCCTGGCACAGGCAGCTTCAGGGAGCCACCCAGCTGTGGGTAAGCTACCCCTGGGCACCTTCTGGGGCTGGGCAGCCCCACGCTTTGGCTGGCACATCTGGACCTCAGCGCCCTGTCTGCTCCTACTCGCCCTTGAGGGCCCAGGGGCATCTCTGGGGGCACAGGGCATCTGGCTGCCCCAGAGCCGGCTGCATTTTCCCCATGGAGCTGGGGCAACCCTGTGCTGGAGGCAAAGGTCAGCGGGCTGCGGCCCTTGGGCACAGCAGCTGCCACCTTATGGTGTCCCAAAAGGGGCTGAGAGGGTGTCCTGCACCCCCTGAATTGTTCCAAGCCTGGGCACTGGAGCGAAGTGGGTGACTCCGTGTCACAGACATTACCCTAGACACCAGTTTGGTTCATCAGTTCATTTCCTTTAATAGATATATAGAGAGAGTTGCGTTGCCACAGCGGGAGCACCCACGGGAGCCTGGCCAGCTGCCCCGGGAGCCCCAGCGTGGCCTGCCGCACGCTGAGGTAGAGGTGAGCATCGCCCCGCGCTCGGCCTGCTCTGTCACCCAAGGGTGTGAGTGGGCGGGAGGAGGCGCCTGCCCGCCCCAACGAGGTAGTTTGGCATGCCTGATGCAGCGGCCTCTGTCCCCCCACTCTGGGCCAGGGACCCCGGTGTCCGGGTGGTCTTTGGTGGGAGCACTGCTGGGCCTCGTTTCCTGTGACATGCCCCCCCTGTGCCACTGCCACCCTGCTCCCTTCCTGCACCCAAGAAGCTCCTCCCAGTGCATGAAGCCCCATCCCATGCCACACCCTCACACACGAGGCTCCACTCCCACCAGTCCCACCAGTTTCCCCAATATCTGCCCCCGAGTTGACCTGTGAAGTTCCCCTGGCACAACCCCGCGCCTGGACTAGGGCCGAGCTGGGGTGCTGGGGCCTGAGCTGTCCCCACTATGGGGACACCACCACCCTGGGGTCGGGGGGCCACCCGGGGATCAGAGGGGCCGTGAGGGGACACAGAGCACAGGTGTGACGAGGGGGAATGGCACCGGGACAGCAAGCTCAGGCAGTGCGGGAGGGAGGCGTGCTGAGGGCACAGTGTGCGAGGGGGGTTGCGGTGTGCAGGGGCTGCAGTGTGTGCATGGAGGATGTGCACAGGGGATGCGATGTGTGCACTTAGGGGGTGTATAGGGGGTGCAGTGTGTAGGAGATACGTGTGCATTGAGTGTTTCATAGAGGGTGCAGTGGGTAGGGGGTGCAATGTGTGCATGAAAGGTGTGTACAGAGGATGCAGCGTGTAGGGGCTGTAGTGTGTGCACTGAGGGCGTGCGTAGAGGATGCGGTGTGTGTGCACAGCAAGGGTGTCCGTAGGGGATGCAGTGTACAGGGGACACAGTATGCGGGGCTCTGAGGTGCACCAGGCCAGCAGGGCAAGCAGGAGCTGTACTGGGGAGTCACCCGGGGGCACTGCCTGGCAGAGAAGGCGCCTGTGCAGGAGGGCACATGTTGGAAAAGGGGACACATGCGTGGCAAGAGGGCTCTCATGGGTGCTCACAGCCTTGCACTAAATCACTGCACGATATTGCAGCAAGAGGCACCCCTGGGTCTCCCATCCCACCTTGGTGGCCCAGCTGGGTCCCCTCATAACCCCACCCGCTGCCTCACGAGGTCACGTCCCGGGAGAACAGGAGCAGCCAGGGCCAGCCCCGCAGCCAGATCCCAGTGGGCACAGCCCCGCCCCAAACCAGCCACTGATGGGACTAGCTCTGCCCCACTGCCAGGCCACATTCTCACCCACAGCCAAGGGCACAGCCCCTCGTGCCCCCCAGGCGGAGGACAGACCAGTCTGCCTTGTCTCCGGGGCTGGGGCACCCATGGTGTCCATGTGTGGGGGCTCCCCATGGGCTGGCCCAGCTCCAGGGACTCCCGGCTGCTTCGGAGGGCATCGCCACTATGGTGAGGTGCTGGCGGGAGTGTGGCTGTGCGATGGGGCCGGGAGCAGTGGGTTTGGGGTGGGCATGGGGCTTGGCTGGCTCTGGGCACTCCCCCCCACGGGGGCACTGGG